ATGGCTAGCACAATGCGTAGCACATGGTATGTGCTAAATAAATGCTTGTTGATTGATATTATCAATATTTATATCTATGTATAGCTGTATCTATATCTGCATATATACATATATATTTATTTAATCCCTATTTGCTTTAAACATGCCTAAGTCTCCCTATTCTTCTATTAAAAAAAAAACCTTTCACTAAACCCTACCATTCCTATCAAGCTGTATTTCTGTTCCTTTTCTCAGCCAAGTTTCTAGAAAAAAAGCTATCTACACTCCCTTCCTCAGCTTTCTTTCTGTTCTTTCACTACTCAGCCCTTTGCAGTCTGGCTTCTGAGATCAATGTGCAACTAAAACTGTTTCCAAAGTTACCAATGATCGCAAAGGACAAAACTAATGGTCTTTTCTCAGTCTTCATCCTTCTGGATTTCTCTGCAAACCTCCCTCTTTTTCCTAGTACTCTCTCATCTTTGGGCTTTCATGACACTGCTCTTTCCTGATTCTCCTACTCCTTCTCAGTCTCATTTACTGGCTTCATCATTACATCACTCTCTCTAATCATATGTGTCTCCTAAGGCTCTGTCTTGGGTCTTCTATCGTTTCTCTACATTCTCTGTCCTGGTAATTTCATCCTCTCCCATTGGTTTAATCATCATCTCTATGTAGATTAATATATCCAACCACAGTTTCTTTTCTGAGCTCTAGTCTTGTAGCAGCAACTGATTTTTGGACATTTCAAACTGTATATGTTAGACTTATCTCAAACTCATTATGTCTAAAACTAAACTCTATTTTCCACTTCCACCCCTAACCCATCCTTTTTAATAAGCTTTCCTATTGTCTTTAGGTTACAAACATTTGATCTCAGAAGGTGATCTCACAGCACAGAGAGAGCAAGAACGATCTATTGAAGGAAACTGAAACCTTCCCATCCCCCTAGTCCCTGTTACTCAGGTATTGAATATCCCCTCCCAGATTGATGCTGACCCTATCAACTCATTCCCATCTCTGTGAGAGTTTTACCAAGAGCCTTTGCTTCACTTAGATCTAAAGTCCCACTATCCCATTTCCACCAGTTATGGGTCAAAGGTATGGCATGCACATACACACACACACACACACACACACACACACACACACACACACACTTAAGTGAGCAAGGACTCATCAATTACCATCTTTCTGGAAAGATGGTAAGGCCTTACCATTTGCCACTGTTTCCTAAAGATTATTGGGCCTTTACATCTGCTCTACATCTGAACCCTCTTATATGTGTTTTCTCTCTTAATTAGAACATGAGGGCCTGGACAGCAGAGACTCCTTCTTTTTCTTTTTCCTATTTGTACCTCCAGGCATTATCACAGGGCTTGGCACATAATAAGCACTTAACAAATAAAATGATTTTTGGCTGATTGAATCATTCATATAGATTCATGTCCTTGACTACTCATTACCTGCCACTTCATATATCCAATCACTTGCCAAATTTTGCCATTTCAACCTCTACTTCTTTCACATTTGACCACTTCTTTCTATTTGCAGAGCTATCACTAATTCATATCCTCACTACAAGATCAGAGATTTAGAGGAGCTCTTAGAGATTATCAAGTACAACCCCTTATTTTACAGATTACGAAACTGAGATCTGGAGAGATGAAATGACTCCTCCAAAGACACACAGGTAGTAAGTCGAAGAGCTGGGATTTGAACCCCTTTTCTCCGATTCTAGTTCCTCTGCTTTTTTCTACTTTGTCACATGAGATAAAACATGATATGGTAACCCAATGATGCAGACAGCACTGTAGGAACTTCAGATAGGAGCAGTCACCATACTGGAACAGTTAGGGAAGGCTTTATGTAGGAGGAGAAAAAGAAGATATTTGGATTTTTGTTTTCCTCTGAATGGGACGAAAGCTGAGGGGACCACCACTTCTCTCAAGGTGCTCAAAGCAGATGAAGAGCTGAAAGAACTTTAATAACATTCCGTAAGTACATTAGAGAAGAATGAGCAAGGTGCTACATGAGGTCTGAGGAGAAAGATAATCACTGACTAGAAAGATCAGGGGGAAATGGAAAAGGGCTGATATTTGAATATTTTTCTAAATCAGGTTTCTTAACCTGGAGTCTGTGAATTTGTCTAATATGTGCATATAAATGTATATTATATATATGCATATACACACACACATATATATATATAATTGTATTTCAATATAATTGGTTTCTTTATATTCCAATGTATTTTATGCATTTGAAAACATTTAAATTTTAACAAGCATTTATTAAGCACCTACTATGTGCCAAGCATTGCACAAAGTACTTTACAAGTATCTCATTTCATCCTCATAACAGCCACCCTGGAAGCTGTGTGTTCTTATTATTCCCATTTTACAGTGGAGTCAGGCAACGGTGAAGTGACATGCCCATAGTTACACAGCTTAGCAAGCACCTGTGTTCACATTTGAACTCAGTTCTTCTTGGATTCGGGACCAGAGCCCTATCCACGGCACCAGCTAGCTGTTTCTACTATCTTGAGAAAGACCAGACTGCCAAAGAAGTCCATGACACAAAATACATTAAGAAGTCCTGGTTATGAAACCTTAGTCTAGAACAAACAGAGAACCGGAAACCTCAGGCTACAATCAGCTAGGGGTCTAGGTATGTGCACTAGAAGTTCTCAGATTTAGATCTGGAAGGGACCTGAGAGGCCCTGGATTCCAACCCCTTCATTTTAAAGATGAAGAAACTGAGGTTAAGTTAGCTTGTTCCTGGGGTCACAAAGACTGGGCCCTCTGGGCTGCACTGGCTGCCCTACTCAGCTAGCTATCTGAAGAATTCGGTTACTAGCTCTGTCCCAGACACACTTTCCCTGGGCCAATGCCTATCAAGCGAGCAGACCCTGAGGGTTTGTGTATATGTGAATGCTTGTGTGGGAGGAGAAGGTGAGGGTGGGTGGGGAATAAGACCTTTGAAGCAAATACAGATCAAAGAGCAAGAAGCCTAAGGGCTTCTTACCCGAAGAATGAAATGGAAGAGCCAGAGAACCTATTGATTCAGGTTTGGTGTTCAGAACGACCCTTGACCCTCCCTACTCTAAGGCCGAGTTTGAGCTTCTGAGCTCCCTTCCTTTTCAGGGTCTGGGTAAAGGGCTCATCTGCTGCCTGAGGGGTTCTAGCTAGAGCCCTCATTTCTCCTCTGAGACCCAGGGGTCCCTACTTTACTGTTGCGTCAAGCCTAGACTCTACTGAGAGGAGGGTCTCTGTGGGTCCTTTCCCCCTATGGGGAGGAGCAGGTGGGGGTGGGGTGGATGACCTCTTGCTTGGACTGTTGCAGTTGCTTCCTGATTTGTTTTCTTGATTCAGATCTCTCCCTATTCCAGGCAATCAAACTGATTTTCCTTTAGATGCATATCTGACCATCCTGTCTTCACAATAGATTGCATTAGCTGCCTATGGCTTCTCTGATAAAATATCAACTTCTTTGGTTTTTAAAGGCCCTTCAACAAACTGTCTTTCCAATTTCATTATAGGTTGGTTCCTGTACTCCACACTTTATTGCACACCTAATTCCTCACAGCCAGAGGCCTCTCCTATTCCTGGAATGTATATTGGAATGCCTGGAATCCTTCACTTCCTTAAAGGCTCAGCTCAGGTGCCATCTTTTATACAAAGCCCTTCCTGATTTCCCCAACTACTAGTGCTCTCCCTCCCTGACTAACTACCTTATTTTTAATATCTTCTTATTTATTTTGTGGTTAGTCTACACATACATATGCAAACTATGTATGTCTACACAAGTGTCTACATATATGTACACATCGTATATCTTCTTTCCTCCAATAAAATATAAAATACTTAAAAGCCAGGGTTCTTTCTTCTTTTTTTTTTTTTGTCTTTGTGTCTCCAGATGCTAACAATATGCCTGGCACATAGTAGATGCTTAATAATATATACGTATGTCTTCACTAAAATCCAATATTCTAATGGCTTGTGGTATTGTAGTATGCACATAATCCTGGGTTCTCAAGACACTGTGCCAGTAAGGTACAAACTCTGGCAGGTCCTGTCAAGCTGGAAGGGCTTGGCACATAGGTCTGGTGATGGATTGTAGGTCTTTTGCCCTAGGATAATACAACCTAGGTTCAGACAGCATGAATAAACCAGGAGGTTGCTTACTAGGAGATGAAATTTTTGACCACAAAAATGCATAACCACTGTTTCCTAAGGCCTAGGAGGGCTGGGTTGTTGGAGGAAGTATCTACACCAATGAAAAAACAATTCATTTAAGTATGTAGATGATTGAGCGTCAGGGTTTTATAGAACTTGCTTGTGAAATCGGGCAGCATGGTACATTGCCTGACCTATAGTCAGAAAGATGAGTTCAAATCCAGTGTCAGACACTTACTAGGTGTGTGACCCTGAACAAGTTGCTTAACCTCAGTTAAGCCTCATCTGTACTTAGCCTCAGTTTTCTCATCTGTAGAATAGGGATCATAACAGCACCTACCTCCCACGTTGTTGTGAAGATCAAAGGAGATGAAAATTGTAAGTGCTAAGTGAGTGCCTGGAACATAGTAAGTGCTATGTAAATGTTCATCATCATCATCGTTATTATTAAATTGACCTTTCTTTTCTGCTGCTGTCTCCCAAGACACTTCCTAGAGTCATAGGACCTTTTGAAATGCAGGGTTAGGACAATCAGACCAATTCTTCCTAATCCATCAATTACCAAGAACATATTAAGAATGTTATGTGGCTAGCAGTATGCTAGGTCTGAGGAATACAGACAAAAATGAAACTATCCCTGTCCTTGGAGATCTCATTTTTCTGCTATTCTAGGGGTGTCTGAGGCTTTGTTAATTCTAGGCATTTGAAAGAACACAGTCTGAGAACCAGTTCTAGACCAGGGGATTCCCAACTTTTTCCTGTCCTGTGGCCACTGGCTTTCAGCAAACCTTCCTCTATCTCTTATTTGATATTAATGGAAATAAATTCTAGAGTTTACCCAGCATATGCACGTAAGAATGACCTTCCCAAAAAATAAGAACTAAATTCTAGGGTTTATCATGCATGCGCACCTAAGAAATAAAATAGATTTTATTCATTCCAAGAGGGTAATATATTTATCAGATATTTAATGCTTTGTGTGCCTCAGTTTCCCCACCTCTAAAATTGGGATAATAGTTGCTCCTTCTTCCTGTATGGGGTATTAGAAGGAGAAATAAGATAATTAAATGTAAAAACACTTGGATATTATTGAAAACAAAAGGCGATCCACAAATTCAAATTGTTATTGTCATCCTTATCCTCATTGTTAATGTGACACCATGAAAAAGAAAACATTTTGGAGAAGTACTGTAGCACACTTAGCTTTATTGAAATTGAACAAATAAATCTTTTTTAAAATAATCCCTTTTACTGCACTTGTAAAATTTATTTTCATTTTATTATAATTTTTTTTTACAGATTGTCTTTATCTGAATAAGCAAAAATACCTCTTTTTTTTTTTCTTACTTAAAACACGTAGCCAGAATTCGAACCACGTAGCTCTGGTACCAAAATGTTATAGGTTATGAAAATCACAGTACAGTTTTAAAACTCTTAAGTTAGTCAATGGTATTTAAAATGACAGCCACTTTAATGAAGGTAGAAATCAGTGGTCTGTAAACCTATTGGACTATTGTTCGCAGTTACAATGAGATCAGTGATGGGAAAGTTAATGCTAATTTGAGCTACACCGTTTAGGAATCAAGAGGTCGGTGAATATTGTGGTGGAGGGGAGGGAAGAACACATTGGCACTTCAAGTTGCAAGTAAATACAGCCAGAATAAGGTCAGTGCACCATCTTGGAAAGAAAATAACATGGGCTGTCTTGTTGATTTCTAAAAGAGAATACTATCAAATTAATCACATAGTACACAATTTTAACCCCAAAATTACAATTCTAGGAAAGTAAGATGATGTGAAAATGCACACCTACAAGGCTAATCAAGTAGAGATCTGGTTTCGTTGGAAGTGTTCATTTCTTTCCCCTTTTAAGTATAAATTTATGAGCCACAAAAAGACTTGGTGAAACACTAACTACTGATATTATCATGGAATGTAGCTCAGTGGACTTATTTTCACATACAAAGGCAGCATTTTCCTGAAAAAGTTTGGTCCTCTTAACTCACTGGAGGGTAGCCGCTAGAATTAGATGTAAAATATTTTAGGTCTTATTTAAGTGAACATTTCAGTACCAGAATTAGTTAAAAAAAAAAATTGGCCCCATGTACACATCTGATTGACCCAAGATTTGGAAGAACAATGTTAAGGGATTTGTAAGGGGACCTTGTCACATAGTTCTGTGATTACTTTAATTTTGTGCAATCAATTTTCTTCATGGACTGAAACTTTTCTGTCTTCTTTCAGTGTCATGAAATCCTACCCCCACCCTTTTGACCTCCCCCTAACCCCTCAGTCAAAATGATAGAAAGACAATTTCACCGTTTATTTACAAGCACAACATTTGGGCAACAGTGTCCCTAGGCCCAAAGGGTTCACCTATTTCTTATGCACATCCTCATGCCGAATGATTTTGTATGTGATCCAGTAAAAGACGTTGAATATGAGGAAGGCCAATGGGAAGGCAGCTCGAGATATTGTATCAATCCTTTTAGCCCGATCTACAAACTTCTTTTTGATGGAGTCTGAATCCTTCGGGAGTGCTGGGGGTGGGTTTGGTGGTGGGGCTTTGACTGCTGTTCCATCTTTAACTTGAAGACAATGACCCATCCCATAGCCACTGAAATTAAAACGACTCTCCCGAGCAACGTCTTCTTCCTAGAAGGATAAAGAAAGACAGACAAGAAATGAGTCATCTTTTCGACAGATACACATTCTTATTGAAGTTACTTGTAAACCCTTAAGAAGTAACATATTAGGTAATATACATTGATATAGTAATATGATATTGCTGTTTAAGGTCTTTCAAGTGTCTTCTATTAGAATATTTTTTGTAAAAGAGATTTTTCTTCAAACTTCAACCTAACCCACTTTTTTTTTTTTTGGTGGGAGTGGGCTTCTCTCAGTATGGAAGATAAATTTATTATAGTGACTTGGGGGGGTAGTACACGGAATTAAGAGTACTAATGATAACTTTATGGTTTTTTTAATCCAATCAGTCACTTTTGAGTGGCAACCATGTACTCAGGCATACACAAAGATTAGATAGACATTTTAGTCCTCTAGCTACTGTGCTATAACTCAGTTGACTTGGATTGAAAAATTAGATCTTTCTGGTTCTCTGTTACTCAGCTCTATAACTAATCTGTGTGCTGGGGACTCAGAGGTATTAGACCTGCCATTTGCATCAGGAGAGCCTCTGGTAAAGGAAAATAACCAGATTTTGTGGTCTTACATTGGTTCATCTATGCCATATAGATTTGGCACAGAATAAAAAGGGAAATCATCTCCTAGGTCTAGGATGATCAAGAGTGTGCTAGAGCAGTTCTTGCAGGCATAGGGAGAGTTAATTGTTAATTTTTTAGTGTAAACATTAACACCTGGGTAATTGGCAGATTGGAGCTTGATTTATTTTTTTGTTGAATGTCTAGACTTACGAACCCAATGGAGAAAATGTTAATAATTCAGATCAAATTTAAGTGTTTTGTGCATACATTTCCTTCTTCCCTTGCCTCCCTCTGTACATTCCCCTCTCAAATTATTATACATTTGTTGTTATACATTTCCCAGCACACCAATGCATGGGATGAACTGGCTGTTTACAAGGTTCAAGTAAGTACTTTACAAACATGGCTTTGGAAGCAAACGCTGAAATCAGAAATCAGTGTTACATAGTCTTTCAGGTCCTCTTCCGCGGCTGATTGACTGTATTGTCTTTCATGGAGTAGGCCTATATCACACAGAGAAAACTAGGGATTTGGCAAGCAGCAGAACCTTTGGGCTGTAGAGACAGCCAACATGAATCAATGCCAACACTGTGTTTCAATTTGTCTTTGTAGAACTTGTCAACATGATGAAAAGACAAACAAGTCAATGCTGTTTCACTCTATATTTAAGACTTTGTGTATTAATAGTTCCCATCAATGATGTTAATATGAAGAAAATAGTAATTATATCAAAAGCTGTTTATATATGCATTACAGACATTTATTTAAAGATGACCACAGAAATTTCTACTTTATAAAGATTTTTGTCACAAAAAATCACAAAGGATATTTCCTTCTCAAATACATGATTTCCTTCCAAAAGCATGTTCAGAACAATTTGTCTCATTTCTTAATCAAATGAGTTTAGCATATGAAGCATAAGATGTTCATGAAAGCAAATAACACACAGTGGATTGTGAATTTACCAGGCTCTATTCATTCTCCAAAAACAAACAAACAAACAAAAAACCCATAGCATAGTATTTAACCAAGGAATTGCACGTTCTCAACAATGAAGTGATACTCTGGGACAAATGCTGAAATACAGAGTGTTCCAAAAGTCTTAGTGCAGGTTTGAGCTTTGGCACCTATTTTTAAAATTTGAATTCTTTAATTTTAATTTTGATATATTTCATTTAACTTTAATTAATATTAATATTTTAATTATTTATTTTAATACCTAATAATACCTATTCAAGCTGAAACCTATATAGATTTTTGGGACACTCAATAGTAAATGGTTAGTTACCATAACTTGGGATAGAACTAAAGAGGAAAATCGCTTAATGTAAAATGACCAAATAAAATTACGTACCTTTGAAGATGAAAGAAGCACACAGAAATTACAATTTGTCATCATATCAACTTTGTGAATCATTAATACAGTCTTAGTGTGTACCTATCCTTCTGTGGCAGGTACTGAAGCCAGGGCCCAAAAGATGCTCCCTGATGTATTTTGGTAGAGGGGCTCAGCAGAGTGGAAGTCAGCTAGTGATCGAATATAGTAAGTATGGGTTTTAATTGGTGTGGTGAAAAGACCACTGGACTAAGAATCAGATTCTAGGCCTGGGTTCTAGGCTATATGAGCCTGGTCATGTCATTTTGCCACCATGGGTCTGAGTTAACTTACCTGCAGAAAGTGAAAAATGGACCAGCTGATCTCTAAGGTCCCTTACATCTATAAAATTAAGATTCTAGGTTACTTTTTGAAATTCAAACCATGGCTTTCAATGTGATAGCAATAATATCTGACGCTTGACAGCGCTTTAAAGTTTTTCAGCGTTTTATCATTACTTTGTCATTATTGTTAATGCAATAACAACAGCATTAGTAATGACATCTGACACTTACATGGTGTTTTTTAGTTTTCAGGCTTTTCCCTATGTAGCATCTCATTTGAGCCCTACAGCAGCCCAGGGGGCATTGATACTATAAGAATTATCCCTATTTTACAGACGTTTAAACTGAGACTGGAAGAGGTTAAGTTATGAGTATCAGGCACAGGATTCAGTCTTCCTGACTCCAAGCCCAGCACTATCCAGCTGCACCATATTGACTGTCTAATGCACATTTATATAGTGCTTTAGAATTTATAAAATACTTGACATTCATTATGATTTCAGTTGATCTTCATTGTTGTTCAGTTGTTTCAGTTCTGTCAGATTCTCCATGACCCCATTTTGGGGTTTTCATTGGACTGGTTTGTCACTTCCTTCTCCAGCTCATTTTACAGATGAGGAAACTGAGGCAAACAGGGGTAAGTGGCTTGACCAGGGTCACGCAGCTAGTAAATGTCTGAAGTTGGATTTGAACTCAGATCTTCCTGACTCCAGGCCTGGTGCTCTATCCACTGCACCACCTAGCTGGCCCAATCTTTTCATTACTGTGGTTTAATTATCAGGTCTATGCAAGTGACTGCTCAGTAAACTCTGGTGATTCTCTATTACCTCCAGTAATAAATGTAAACTTTCTTGTTTATCATTAAAGCCCTTTATGACCTTGCTCCAATAGGGGTGGGGAACCTGAGGCCTCCAGGCCACATGTGGCCTTCTACATCCTCAAGTGTGGCCTTTTGACTGAATCCAAGTTTTACAGAACAAATCCTTTAATTAAGGGGATTTATTCTGTGAAGTTTAGATGCAGTCAAAGGGCTGCACTCGAAGACCGAGAGGACCACGTGTGGCCTTGAGGCGGCAGGTTCCCCATCCCTGCTCCAACCTATCTTTCCAGCTTTATTTTACATTGCTCCCCTCCATGGACTCTAAGGTCCAGTCAAATTGTCCTTTTTAACCATCCCTCACACACAATGCTTTCCCATCTCTGGGCTTTTACTTTCTCACTTCTGCCTATTGGAATCCCTATTTTTCTTCAGCACTCAGTTTAAGCACCACCATCTACATGAAGCCTTTCCTTATCCCCCCAGCTGTGTTTCCCTCCATATAAAAACTACCTTGCATTGGTTTTGAATACAATTTGCATATTCTTACATTATATATGTACACACACACACATATACAGATATATACATGTACATACACATACTTCTGGAGGGCATGAACTGTTTAATTTTTGCCTTTGTATCTCTCTAGCATAGTGAGTGGCACACGTTGCTGTTTGGTAGTTTTCAGTGGTGTCCAATTCTCTGTGACCTCATTTGGGGTTTTCTTAGCAGGGATGCAGGAGTAGTTTGCCATTGCCTTCTCCAGCTCATTTTACAGATAAGAAAACTGAGGCAAACAGAGTTAAGTGACTAGCCCAGGATCACACAGCTAGTAAGTATGTGAGGCCAGATTTGAATGCAGGAAGATGAATCTTCCTGGCTCCAGGCCCAGCAGTATCACTGCACTACCTAGCTGCCTGCCTAGCTGAATGGCACATAGTAGGTGATTAATAAGTGCTTTTTAAAATTATTAATGATTAATGACTCCTATCTAATCTGAACTTGAATCTTTGGGTTTTTTTTTTTTGGCTAGACAGTGGGGTTAAGTGACTTGCCCAGGGTCACACAGCTAGTAAGTGTTATGTGTCTGAGGCCATATTTGAACTCAGGTCCTCCTTACTCCGGGGCTGGTGCTCTCTCCACTGCGCCACCTAGCTGCTCTGAACTTGAATCTTATACCACCAGCTGTTAGTCTGTCTCATCCGCACCTGAAACTCCACATGTACAAAACAGAATCATCTTCTTGTTTAAACTCTTCGCTCCTCCAAACATAAATATTTCTGTTGATAGCATGGCTGTCATTCTAGGTGTTTTTTATTCCCCCTTCCCCCACACCTCCCCTCTCTAAGCAGTTGTCAAGTCCTTTAAATTGTGCTTTCAAAAACAAAAACAAAAAACTCAAAGCATTTCATGTCCTTTCCCTTTTCTCCTCTCCTTCCAACTCATTTTAGGTTCTCACCACTCCTTCCACGGACTATTGTAGTAACCTCTTAATTACTCTTCCCACCTCTAGTCTCTCCTCTGTCAAGTCCATATGTAACACACTTGCCCAAATACTTTTCCTAAGGTGCTGGTCTGAACATTGGTCCTGTTCAAAAATCTCTGTTGCTTCTATTTATCTGGGGATAAAATACAAATCCCTAAGGCTGGCATTTAAGGCCCTTTGTGATCTGAACTCAGGACAGAACTGACTTCAACCTTACCTCTGATACTTCTGTTTAACCAGTCAAGTCACCTCAACTCACTGAGCCTTAGTTTCCTCAACTGTAAAATGAGGTTAAAATCTGTAATACTTACCTCATGGTGCTGTTATGAGATAAAATGAGAAAATGTGTGTAAAGCATTCTGTAAATCTTAAAGCATTAAGTAAGTATAGCTATCACTATTCACTTATGCCTAAAATTATGTTCTGTATTCATTCAATAGTGTTTCAAATTATGGCTCTTAGCTTA